GATCCCAGCTTGTGTTCTGTATGCAGGCAGTTTTCACGCAGTTGACTATTCCAGAATGGGAAATCCCCTGCCCCCGCTGCCTGATGTCCCAGGATACCTGGGAGAAAGACAGGTGTATCAATATTTTAAAAGGAAAACGTAGCTGTGACGACCCCTTATCTGGGGAGGTCTGGTTTTACTTTAAAAGTGTTCTTTATGTTTGGTTCTACTAGGTATATCCGGCTGCCACCAGGAAATTTAAGGCTTTCCAAACCTTTATACTATAATATTTCTATCACTGGGTAGGTAGGTCGGTTTTTTAGGCTTTCATGAGGGTCTATGTCTTTCCAAAACCCCTCCCCCTCTCTGTCACTCACCAATCACACCACACTTTCCTCTTCAAGCACTCTAGACTATCACATGCAACCAAACTTTTAAAGAGACACACACCCATAAACAAGGAATCGTTACAGTAGCCTATTCTGCCCTCCATTCTCCTGCCTCTGAATATCGGGCCTGTGTCTCTGCACCATTTCACCGGAAACTTGCATGTGATATGCCCTCCTTTCTAGGGTTGCCAACTCTGGGTTGGGGAATTCCTGGAGATTTGGGGTGTGTGTGTGTGAGGATTTGTGGAGGGGAGGGACTTCAGTGGGGTCCAGTGCCACAGAGCCCACCTTCCAAAGTGCCCATTTTCTCCAGGGGAACGGACCTCTTTTACCTGGGGGCCAGCTGTAATTCCAGAGGATCTCCAGCCGCCACCTGGGGACTGGCAACCCTGACTCCTTCCCCGCGTAGACTATCCCAGCCACACGCAAGAGCTCTTCTCGCCAAAGCGGAAACCGCACATTTAGGTTAACGTATCAGCAATTCTACGACAGGATAAGTGGCCCGGCCAGGATTTGACCATTGCAAGACCGTGGGTGAAAGGCAGATTTCGAAAACACTGCTGGCTGCCTCCCTTAATGAATGAACACCAGAACGAAGCTCGCCTAAAGCGACGCGTTTGGTAACGTCTCGCTTCTGCAGATTGCCTCTTGGTGTCCGTATGGCACTGCTAACAATGACAGATCCAGCAAGCTCCCCTCCCAGTCTCTGGTATGGGAACTGAGGCCAACCTTACAGGGTTACTCTGAAGGTTATTCGATAGAATACATGTGAAGTGCTTTGCGAACACAGAATTGTGCTTCATGAAATGCCAGCTAGGAGAAGAACATAATAATGGTGTCTGAGCCCAGCTGTGGCCAACGTCATAAAAAAATCAGGCTTGGTCCTAGCATAATTTGTGGTGAATTTTTATGCCCTCAAAGTGCACTGGGCTAGGCTATTGGGCTACGAAATGGAAGACCCAGGTTCGAATCTGCCACGGAAGTTCTCTGGGGGACCTTGGGCCAGCTGCACACTCTCAGCCCAGCCTACCTCGCAGGGTCGTTGGGAATCAAGCCAGAGGAAGGGAGAGCCCACGAAGAAGAGGAGGACAAGGAGGAGATTGGATTTATACCCTACCCTTCACTCGGAGTCTCAGAGCAGCTTACAATTCCCTTCCCCACAACAGACACCCTGTGAGGCAGGTGGGGCTGAGAGAGCTCTTTCGAGGACTGCTCTTGAGAGAACAGCTCCGAGAGAACTTGTAACTGACTCAAGGTCATCCAGCCGCTGCAAGTGGAGGAGTGGGGAATCAAACCCGGTTCTCCCAGCGGTTCTCCCAGATTAGAGTCCACGCACTTAACCACTACACCAAACTGCCTTTGGCTCCTTGGATGAAAGGCGTAATAAAGACATCATTAAGTAACTATTCTTGACCACATTTCTGAGGGGTCAGCCTCTCTTATGCTAGCCCTCTCTGAGAACACTCATGCTGAAAAGCAGGATATGCGTATCAGGCATTTCAGCGAACATGCACGAGGATGCCAAGATGCCCAAATACGTACTGTATCTCCTGCAGGTTTTATATTTCTTGGACACACACGAGGGCGCGAGAGGGTGACGGGGCCCTTTCGCCTCTGCTCTTACCCGCCAAAAAACTCCCAGCCCTTTTGAGAGCCGTAGAAGGCCCGTTATATATTCATTTACTTCATTTCTCCCCAACAGGGACTCCAAAGCGGCTCACGTCCTTCTCCTCTTCTCCATTTTATCCTCACAACAGCCCTGCGAGGTAGGTTAGGCTTAGAAAGCGTGACTGGCCCAAGGTCACCCAGCAAGCTTCGACGGCACGAGCGGGGATTCGAACCTGGGTCTCCCAGTTACTAGTCCAAAACTCTGAACCGCCACATCACTCTTCCATGTGCCTGGAAGCTCCGACGCATACCCAGGCGCGGGGGTGAGCTGGAGGTTGCGCGGCAAATCTGTGACACCCCCCCCCCAAATTCAGTACGTGTTTGATCTCTCAGGACCTCAAAGCCCCAAACCTGGGGGGCAAAGAGCAACTCGCCTGGTTGATCATGCAGGTCTCCAGCTCTTCCTTAGTCACACTGTTGCGGCCCCGTTCTTTGTTCTGGAAGAAACACGCAAACAAAGAAAGTGAGAAGTCTCCTTCGTAACTTTTGGGAACGCTCACGGGGGGGGGGGGCCTTGAGCGCATCCCACTATTTGGAAGACAATGACTATACAGCTGTACAAGAGAAGATAGATCGAGGTGGGGAGCCATTTTGGTCTGAAGCAGTAGAATGAATCTTGAGTCTAGTGGCACCTTTAAGACCAACAACGTTTTATTCAAGGTGAGGAGGAGGAGGAGGAGAGTTGGATTTATACCCCACCCTTCACTCAGAGTCTCAAAGCGGCTTAAAATCTCCTTTCCCTTCCACTCTCCACAACAGACACCCTGGGAGGTAGGCGGGGCTGAGAGAGCTCTTTCGGGAACTGCTCCTGAGAGAACAGCTCTGAGAGAACTTGTGACTGACCCAAGGCCACACCAGCTGGCTTCATGTGGAGGAGTGGGGAAGCAAACCTGGAGAGTCAGTTTGGTGTCGTGGTTAAGTGCGCGGACTCTAATCTGGGAGAACCGGGTTTGATTCCCCTCTCCTCCACTTGCACCTGGCTGGATGGCCTTGGGCAAGCCGTAGTTCTGATAAGAGCTGTTCTTGAAAAAGAGCAGTTTCTGTCAAGAGCTCTCTCAGCCTCACCCACCTCACAGGGTGTCTGTTGTGGGGAGGGGAAGGGAAAGGAGTTTGTAAGCCGCTCTGAGACACCTTTGGGTAGTGAAGGGCGGGGTATAAATCCAATCTCTTCTTCTCCCAGCTTAGAGTCCGCGCTCTTAACCACTACACCAGACTGGCCCTAGAAGTCTTTCCTTTGGTCTGTCCTGAACCTACGGCCCATCAGCTTCACTGGAGTTCTAGCATTTTGAGAGAGGGAGGAAAAGTTCCCTCTTTGACATACCTGTGGGCCGGTCATACACACACCTAAGCAATCAGGAAGCCAGAAGGCTACACGCGTGTGGCTTTTGCTCACGTGAAGGTTCCGCACTAACGTGTGGCTGAGGGCACGCAAGAGCTGGTGGGCGCAATCTTGTGCTGGAAAGTTATGTAAGAAAGTTGCCCGTGGGAAGAAAAGGATGAACGGGGACTGTAGGAAGCTGTCTTCTCCTGGCCTGGTCTATCCAGCTTAGTCCCATCGACACCAGCAAGCAGGCAGCGGCCCCCTCTCTCGGATTTTTCCTTTGCCATGTAAAGGTCTCGTGGACCGGAAATGTAGGCCGTTGAACCTGGGACCCGCCGTATGCAAAGCATGCGCTCGATCGAACACTGACAAGCCCGTCTCCGTCCCCTACGCATCCAAAGTGCAGACGTGCGTTTCTAGAAGAGTGCGTGCTGGCGGGCAGGGGCGCTTCCAAACACTTTCTACTCACCCTGTACCACATGAAGATGGTTTTAAAGGCGTTTTCGTTGGAGCAAGAGCCGCACGACATGGTGACCACCTGAGACATGCCCTTGGGAGCCACCTGTCCGCGGGGGTGGGGGGTGGGAAGAGGAAAGACACAAATAGAAATTAGAGTGGCCGAGTAGCTCAGCAAAGAGCGGTCAGGCCTATCCGAGTTATCTTTGCAGCGGCCCCGTCGTGAGTTTTCCCAGTTAAGTGGACAGATGGAGCTTGCCCTTGGGGAGGACAGCTAAAGACATCCGCAGCCAGGCCCGTCACTACAGCGGGGCACCGTGGGGCCTGGCCCCTCGGCTTACTGTCACGCCCCCCACTTCACATTCAGCCCACCCCCCCCAACTTTCAGTTTTTTAATTTTATTTTTGGCACTCCCTTGCCCCCCCAATTTAAAGGCCCCCCAATTTATTTAAATCCCCCCCCAAATTTAAAAAATCCTGGCTATGGGCCTGCCCACAGCACCCCGGTAGACCTCTGAGCTGTGATCGGGGACGATTCAGGGGCTATCCAAACAGCAGTTAGTGAAGTGGGATGAACTTGTAACCACGAGAAGTCCCAAAATATCCTGGCAGCTCCATCCTACGCCTGTCTGCCATCTCCACCTGCCAACTGGCTACCAAGGTGAAATCGGACCAGAACACCCCAAGCGGTAGAAGTTTATTAACTTCACTGATATTTGTTTATGTTTATTTGGATTTATATCCCGCCCTCCCCTTGATGGGCTCAGGGCGGGTGCCAACGATATAAATGCAATCCAACAATATAAAATTCAATGCAATTGAAACATTAAAACCTAGAAGACATAAAACTCTATTAAAAGTCAGCTATACGGGGAATAATTTCCCAGAGGTCTGATTAAATTTAGGGTCTCTGACCCCAGCTGTAAGTAGGGGCCAGGTAAAGGTAAAGGTGTCCCTTGCTCGAAAGCCAGTCGAATCCGACTCTAGGGTTGCGGTGCTCATCTCCGTTTCAAAGCCGAAGAGCCAGCGCTGTCCGAAGACGTTTCCGTGGTCATGTGGCCGGCATGACTAAACACCAAGGCGCACGGAACGCTGTTCCCTTCCCACCGAAGTGGTACCTATTTATCTACTTGCAATTTCTTGCTTTCCAACTGCTAGGTTGGCAGGAGCTGGAACTAGAGACGGGAGCTCACTCCGTCATGCGGCACACTCGGGTCTCGAACTGCTGAACTACTGACCTTCCACAGCCTGCAGTTCAGCGTCTTAACCACTTGAGCCACCGCAGCTCCTGAGGCCAACCCAGCTGCAAATAGGACCGACCCAAGGAAGGGGAAGCGCCCGCTGCCTCAACCAAAAGCCTCTGTCTTGCAGGCCCTGCGGAATTGTAATAATTTACACCCTGCCCGTCTCCCCAACGGGAACTCAAAGTAGCTTACGTCATTCTCTTCTCCTCCGTTTCATTTATTCAAATTAGATTTCTATCCTGCCCATTCCTGCCAGGCAGGCTCAGGGTGGCTTACATTCAAAGGATAAAATACATTCAAGCACGAACGGTAAACGTCCTCGCGACAACCCTGTGAGGTAGGCAGGGCTGA